GAGAAACCATCTTCCTCTTATCTTCCCATTGATGTAGTTTTCTGCGATCAGATACGTTTTCTCTTCCTATGCGTGGTGGTTAGGAGGCTGTACCTATTCCCATCCCTACGCGCATGCTGCGTTCGATCTGTGTTTGCAACTAAGGGATGAAACAGATTGCTTTCTAAGTGTTGTAGAATTTTAAAGATACAATCAGTGAATATTCTTGGCAAGGAGATTGGAAAAGAGCGGGGGCCTGAAACGAGGGTCCTAACATGTCTTTCTGCAAATGATATTTGAGCTGTTCCCCTGTCTTCTGTATGGTCCGTTTATTTCCCTTATCTCTTTCGCAATCGGACCTAGTTTGGTACATGTCCTACTTTTCCCAAAAACTGCATTTATCCTCAAACATTTGAGATTTTCATGAAAATTTTGCGACATTTTAGCGCAAATTATACATCCTTCCAATCATTCTTTCCAGGAGCAAACATGGCACCGAACGCGTGGCAGCGGCGTGGATAGCATCCTAAGCGGCGGAAGCTGCATTAGAGAAAGCAGCAATAGTAGCAGTGCAGCGAATGGCAGTAATGATCATACAGATTCAAGCAGTATCGGAAGACGACGATATGTGGCAAGCAAGGAGCAGCATCCGATGCCATGGTACCATGGTAATATCACACGTGAACAGACTGAAAAGTAGGTTTTTTTTTCGGCCAAGAACTTACTCCTTACTAAGTTTTCAGTAAATGGTCAGCGTACCGACTGCTGGTGCGAAGATGCGTTTTTTGCATAGTTCCCCGCAGATTTTTGTCGCTAATGGCACTGGTTTTTCCGACAGATGCTTCTAGCTAAAAGAATAGAGGAACTGTATGCCAGGGCTGTCAGTAAGCGTCTTTTTAAAATTTCAGCTTTCGAGCTTTCCCGGCCCCCGACTTAACAACTTACCCGAAAAAAAAAAACTTCCACGGGCCCTTACGTAAGAACCACGCGTACCCGAGAGCTGGGTTTGAACTCATTAAAACTTGCATGGACATGGAACATCCTCTAAAAATTTCAATCTTCTAGCTTTTCAAATTCCCAAGTTAGCAGCTCCCCTGCCAAAAACTCGTCAGTATGCGTCTTCTGCATTGCATACACGCAAAAACCGCATTAAAAGCAATTGCTATTTTGTAAATAGAGGCACTCGAAAATAGCTCGCGCATGCCACCGTATATGCCAAAAGCAGCCTGCTGCTGGCAAGGCTTTTGATGGCTTTTTTGGAGCGTTACTTGAAAATAAGCTAATGTCAGGGTTGATTCCTCGGTATTAATTTGCTATGGAAATGAGTGGACGAACGATCGTAGAGGGATTGTTGTCGGAGTGGAATGCCCGTTTTTTTTTTGGGAGTAGAATAACACTACTAGCTACTGCTCCACAAAAAAATGTATTAGGAAATAAATCTGAGATTTATCGATATTTCCGATCGCTTCAAGAATTACCTGTGTTCGCATGGAGGATTTGTCTTTACCCTTTTTTCATCTCTTTCACTTCTTTGTTGGATTAAAATTTTACATTTTATTGTTGGGCGCGAGAATTATACCCTATGGCATAATTGATGAGTCAGTGTTTTCTTCCCTTATTTTTTCCTTTTCCAGGATTTTAACAAAACAAGCCGATGGAACGTTTCTTGTACGTGATTCAACCAATTTTCCTGGTGATTATACGTTATGTATGGCGTTCAACGGTAGAGTGGAGCACTACAGGTATTACCAGTCGCCGATTTCTCTCTCGTATGGCATAGTGTGTTGATAAATGGTACTTCTCTTAGACTCAAAATTGGTCCTTCGTGTACAGTGTTGGGATATCCATTCCTTTTCCATGATTGGTTCATTTATCTCTGTGATAAATTGGTTTGTTGCATGTTTGGAAGTCAAAACAGCAATCAGCTGGCTTCTGGGCAACTCTCAATCAGAAAAGTGAGCCGTTAAAAGCCTTGCCA